AATGGACGGAAGTTGTCGGTATTAAACATCGTGATGATGGCTTAGACAGAACACATGATCAATCATGCGGAGGGACAAAACACAGAGGACTCGAAAAATGCTGCTCATTGGCCAAAAGGGGGGAGAGGAAGTGGCCAGACGGATAAATGGGCATCCCATCGATCAAAAGATTTTGATTATTTATCAAGGCTTCTTTTTAATTCTCATTAACGATAGGCATAGGGGTTAGAGTAACTTTTCCCCACTTTCTAGAATATTTATTCTGCAGTACCATTGTATTCGCACATAAAATGAACCACCAAGTCTACCGTTCTAGGAATCCTTTAGATTCATTGCTCAGATATTCTAAGAATAGATCCAGTCATTTCTATCATTCGACCTCAGTTGCACGTTCAAAAAAATACAAATTACTGAAAGAAAGTTATGATTATGGTTTTAATTTTGACTTGCCAGTAGGAGCAAAGTTGACCGAAGCAACACGAACATCAGGCCTCCACCAGCGTCGGCAGTGCTCATCTCCAGAGCGAACACCCGGTAGAGGGATAACATCTCTCTGATCTTCCCTAGCCGCAGCCGCTTCCTCGCCGAATGCAGCTAAGTAACGGCGGCGATCGAAGGCCTCCTGCACTCCCTCCAACGAAAGGTTGGCCGTCAGCTCAAAACGTTTCACCAAAAGACGATCGGGGACAGAGTAGAGACAAATGTACTTAGAGTCACCAGCCGCTAATAGGTGCTGACCGTCTGCAGAGTATGCAATGGAGAGGAACTTTCTAAAATGCAAAAAGTGCATTCATCGAAGTTCTTATTCACACTATTTAATAGAAGTAGTTGATTAAAAAGCGTTATTTAATCACCATAGAGTAGGGTGTGCATGAACAAATGCAACTAGCTATTACAAAGCTGGTTGATAGGCGGCTAAGGAATTGTAGAGTAATGGAATCGAAGATTACATTAGTTCCTATGGTAATCAGAAGACGTTAATTAATAAATTGGGCTCTTTAGGTAATTAAACTGTTTATTATACTAACTTTACAATTGGTTGAGTCAAGTTAGTAGACAAAAAATATGGATTGAAGAATGAATACAAGACATCCAAACCCTACTAGATATTGGCTTTCTTGGAAAAACAAAATAGACAGAGCTATACGAAATCCAACTAATAACCTTATTATGTGCAACCGCAAAAAGCCCCTTTTCAAATCGAAACCTCATTCGAAAGAGAGACTCCTCATTACATTAAGGAGAGAGGTTCCCCCAAAAAAACAACGAGGCCCGGATCAATTATAGCCCCTTAAGAAATAAGTTCACCTGTTACGTACGAAATTTTCAAGAGCAATGTCTTCTTCAGTAAGCACAAGCGTGAAAGCTAAAAGGTCTCTCAACACACTGATTACTCTATTGTGTTGGAAACAACAGCTAACCTGCCTCTAACACCGTGATCAAGAAGTTTCCACACTCTACGACTTGAATATCTCATCCCCAGTAGTTAGCCGTTTCCATGTGCAAATGATGATCCCGCTCTCAATAACGCCTTCAAATGCGTTCTTTCTGGCTAACTAAATCTTGCAACTAAATCACCCAATCACTATCAAAAATGGACCATTTCATTCAATTCAGAGCAGGTTAATTGCCTATGGAGAAGAAGGAAAGCTTGTAAGGCAATAAATCACAATTAGGCAATGCAGTTGAAAATCCATGTAGATCTTTCACTCAAACGAAACGAAAAAAATGTATATAAATCAATCTGAGCAAAAAAATTTAATTTTAGCAATCATATCAATAAAAATAAACAAATCCTACAACAAGAAAAGCTAAGTGGGAGAGTACAGTAGGTAATAAAATTTGAGCTTGAGATGTTTTGATAGCTCAAATTAGATCTCCCAGCCTCAATTTCGGACATTCAAATTAACTTAAATCATTTCGACGGAAAAGAGATTATTCATTTCGACATTATAATCGTTCCGAATAGCGCTAAGTACTACTTGGATTGTGCAAGATTTATTTAACCTGCATTATGCCTCACCTCAAAAGTTCGTAGAAGGTGGACTAGAATTTAGAACCTCTGGTTATTGCAGTTCATGTTAATTGTTGAATAGTTATTTTTGGGATTTTCCTAATTGTGTCCTTTAACAACCAAAATTAGCTGCATATCAAGGAGAGATATTGCAGATTTCAAAAAATCAAGTGAGGGTTGTAAAATTTCAGAGACGCCAAAGACTTGAGGCAAGTATTTTGCAAGATATTTTAACTGCTTAAAAGCAGAAATTCAGATAAAAAAAATTGCCAAGTGGCTTTATTAAGCAAATGATGAAATAGTAACTTTAGAGCACGAAAAAAACACGGTGGTTTAGACCCTAGGGAAAAATGAAAAAAAAGGAATGTGGCGATATCAGTAATTAGTCAAATCAAGATTTGTAAAAGGTTAAGAAATATGCTGTATATTCCTCCCCCCCCCCCCCCCCCCCCTCCCCCCGCGACCTATAGTTCCAATAGAACTGATAAAAAACTGACACCATGTCATTACATGACAACATGGTCGGCATGTTCTCTAGTGGTTATTGAGCATTCTTTAGGCCACCAACGTCTTGGCTTCAATTGAAACGGGAAGGGAAAGTAGGATAATTATATCTTGGATTCAAACTAGGAATGGAAATCTGTTCGCATTGGCAATTAGCACAAAGGCTTTCTACCTAACGTCAATATAGTACTGGGAATCATAATCGGATACAAGATCACCTTGAACCTATCATCTAACAACAACAGACACTCGGCCCAAGCTTTCCATCCAAGTCAGTGTCAGTAAATAAATTATATTAGTGAGAGTAAGGTCGAATGAAAAGAGTAAACGAATGAAGTTAATTGGAAGACGGAATAAACCTTCTATTCATTAAACACCGAAAAAATGTCAAAGCCAAACTAAACAAATAACAATCCAATTTAAAAAGAAAGTAAAACCGGATGCAGTAAAAACTTGAATTCATAAAACCAATAAAAATAGTTTGCAGTTCTCGTATTCGACGCTTTTACAGTCACATAGCAATCAGCATCGGAATTTGAAGTAAAATGTTGGGGCGGGGGGGGGGTCTAATCAGTTAAATTTGGCCTCCAAAAAAAGGAGCCGAACGGGCACGTCCTCAAATCACATTTACATTCCAAAAAACTAGAACAGAAAAATGTCCTCCATCCTCATCATTTAATAGCTAATCAAGCGACGGAAGCAAACATTTCAATATTAAGTAATACGGGTGTGCGATAGACTTACCTCCACGTGGTGCACCCTGGGCAACGTATACTCATACGGCGAAAAAGTCTATTACCTGGCAGTTGACTTCAAGCTACCATGACCCCACTGTATGCCATATACTCATCCCGCCTTTTTTCCACCTTATCTACCTTCGTCTTTGATACACTCTTCTGCTCCCCCCCCCCTCTTGAATTTTTTACACTTTGATGTTCCTTCCCCTCTGTGAAGACTGAAGTCAACTAAAGGGCTAATGATAACAATCAAAACGCCTGCCATTTGATATAATAATAATAATATTACGTAGTAAATTACTGTAACTCTAATAGGTAAAAGGGATTTCTGTGTGATAGTTTCTCGAGGAGAAAATAGCTTTTTAAAACCCTTGTTCATGTTGCACCAATGGGAAGCCCTAGTTCACATATTAAAAATGAGCAAGAGATAGAAGGTAAAATAAAGCATATTTTTCAATGAGAAGTTAAATATCAGAAGGGTCTTTTTTACCTTAAATGACCTTGAAACTCAATGCACCATTTAATGATATAGCTTTGTAATAAACCATTCGACACATACCTCTCTTTGGCAGCTCGATGAGGAGTGACAAGATCATCATTGGAGACTTGAGCGACATCGAGATCACAACGACCTTCTATGCTTCCCAATTGAGTACCATTGGCAGCATCAAAGAATAGGATAGTAGCATTCAAAAGAGCCACGGCTATTTCTCGACCGTCGTGGCGGTAAGCAGCGCAGACGACTAAAAAAAGAATGAACAAAATTAGCAAAATCTAGCTTTCTTAGTTTTAGACCCACCCACACCAGGTAGCCTACGCGTAATCTGAAAATAGCTAATTTATTACTATTATACAACTGTGACTTCAAAACACCCAGCTAACGTATCCATTAACTCCTAGAGACGATTGTTTTTCTAGCCGTCATCTTATTAAACGGCACGATCGCTTCCGTTTTAATCTCAGTCAATAAGCGCTGAACAACGTTTTATTTATAACAAATGGCAGGCGTTTTGATAGTTATCATTAGCCCTTTGGTTGACTTGGGCTTCACAGAACTTTAGTTGACTTCGGGCTTCACAGAGGGGAGGAGGAACATTAGAGTGGCTTCACAGAGGGGAGGAGGAACATCAAAGTGAGAAGAATTCAAGAGGGGGAACAGAAAAGTGATTCAAGGATGCAAAAGAGATAGACAGACACGTGGGGGTAGAGAAGAGTGATTCACAGATGTAAAAGAAGCAGACAGACACAGAGGCTCAGAAAGGGTAAGCAGGGTAAAAGAAACAGACACAAAGGCTCAGAAAGGGTAAGATTAAAAGAAGCAGGCAGACACAAAGGCCCAGAAATGGTAAGATGAGTAAGGAGAAAGTAGTCGCATATGACAAACAGTGGGGTCATGGTAGTTTGAAGTCAGAAGTCAACTGCCGGTTAATAGACTTTTTTGCCGTATGGTATACGTTGCCCAGGGTGCACCACGAGGTAAGTCTATCTCACACCCCCCACTGAACAACGTTGATGAGTATTTGCTGCAATCTAGGCAAATATTGTGCAACCCATTTCCAGAAATTAGACAAATTAAAATTCTGTTGCTATGACTGTTTTCTACATATCTTTTGTTCCAATTCCTCTTATCGGTTGTTGAACTTACGATTATTCGATATCATTTATTTTGTCGCTTTCATTTTTACTTTATTGTGGTTAGTAATAATAAACAATTATATAATATTTAATTATTTTATTGAAGTGTGAAATAGAAAAAAACTACTGGATTTCAACAGAGGATCCATGAGAAGACAGTTAAACTACAATAAACCTTGTCAATTGATGAAGTTTGCCAACCAGAAAACAAACTCCAACAATACACCCAGAACCGGGGTGTGCGATAAACTTACCTCCACGTGGTGCACCCTGGGCAACGTATACTCATACGGCAAAAAAGTCTATTAACTGGCAGTTGACTTCTGACATCAAACTACCATCACCTCACTCTATGCCATATTCGATCCCTTCACGGTATTCTCCTCACCTTTGTTCTACCTTTGTGTTTGTCTCTTACATCTTTGAAACACTCTTCTGTTCCCCCCCCCCCTCTCGACTTTTTTCAATTTGGTATTCCTTCCCCTCTTCCCTCCTGAAGTCAACTAAAGGGCTAATGATAACCATCAAGACGCCTGCCATTTGATATAAATAAATAATACTCCCAGAACTCCACACCCCGTGGCATTTCGTATCCACAAATTCTACACTACTTAAGGCCCTCAACGTAGTAAAATGTGAAAATACAAGAAACGGGACGCCAATTCATGAACAAGGATGTCATTTTAGTAACCAACATGTAAAAAGACTAAGTGATCAAATTAACCAAAAAACGAGCAGATGAAAGAAATGCGGGAGGTGCATTATTTTCTGGCCACGTGTTAAATTTGCGCATTTACAGCACTAGGGGGGGGGGGTGAATACTACCGTGAAATGTGATGGATTTAACGCATCAAGTACCGCTGTAGTAGGCGTGATAGGTGGGATTAGACGACGAGTCTTCAAAAAGCTCACCATACTGCAACTACCTAATTTGCCTTACAAAGCGTAGCATAATGCACCAAATCTATCACTATACGGGAATGAGTTTAGTTATGAGAACACATAAACTCGTCTGTAAGGGCCATTGTTCCAAAAAATTAAGAGAAAGTATAAGCATTCGATAGCCAACAGGGGAGAGAATTGATTCATATTTGTTGTTTCATAGCACTTAAAAAAAGGGAGCACGTTTGTGATTGACATTGATTAAAACTTAACTGAGGTCTTCTCCTAATTAGAACCTCGAAGTGCTTGAAAGACGTCTCCTCTGGGTGTGGGATGTAATGTTAGCATTGGATCAAAATAATTGATTTTAATTGGGTCTTAAATGTAGGAATCGTTGTATATTGCAAATATAGCCCTCTCTCCCTCTCTCTTCAGAATACCCCTTAAAACTCTAACAAACATACCACTCACGCGCGTACTGACTCAAACCCATTCAGTCCCTCTCCCAATTTTAGATACATAGGAGGCTAACAGTTAAGTGGCCTTGAGCTGAGTACTTAAACAACCAAGTTTTCCAGTTAGAAGAGTACTATTGTAAACGGTCGGTCGATTGTAAGCAAAAGCAGATCCCACTAACAACTACATATTCGTCCCTATTTATTGAAAGGATAAATCACATGACATTGTGCTACCATCAAGATTCGTAGCCTATTGGCACAATACTGAACTTTCAGTAATTCAAACCACTATAAGACAAGGAGGCCAACCCATTTCCTTTTTTGACGCGCTTGAAAGATATCAGAGAAGAAACTTACAGGCTTACTTGCTGAATCTTCTAGAAACAAATTATTTAGGGCATTGCGAATATAAATTGAAAATAATCCCCCATTAAAGAGGTTTCTCCATAGTGATAGGATGTAGAAACAAATATTGTAAATGCTTGAGAAGAATTCGATAAGTTCGGAAAACAGATATTATCCCCAAAAACAGCCGTTTTTTAAATACCCTCTCCTGCTCTCACTTGGAAATTAAATTCCTTCACTTAATAGCCAATTAATCTCATAATATCTTATTCGAAGATAAACAATTATGGCAAGTTAATGCCAAAAAGGAAATTGACGTTTGAGGTCATTATGAGTCTCAGCTAGGGCAGCCATGGTGTTATAATTATAACTAGCAACAGTAGTAAGAAATTCGTCATCTTAATTGTTTCGCCAAGTCCTTACCTACCACAACACATCAAAATACAAAGCGGTGACTCTCCTTGGTTGCTAGTAGTAAACAGAATAGGCGTAAATGGAAAGGAGGCTGTAGAGAACAGAAGGAAATTCAATGAAAAGAGGTTAAATAGAATAGACACGTGGAAAAAATCTTAAAGAAAGAATCGAAGATGGAAGAGTGATGAACAGTGAGTAGACAACTTGGAAGTTTCCATTGTGACTGATAGTGATATTGTCAGTATGCCACCGATATATAGAATCATTAATAGCTGAAGTGTTGGAAATAAGAATAACAGCTTATGTCTAGAAGGACGAATAATGAAGACTTCGATTGGCAGATATTGGAGTTATCTCGGATTGAAATCGTGCAGGCCTATATCTCAACCGGATTGATTGATCAATCTGATCGGACAAAGGCATGTCAGTTTTAAATGCATCTACAGGTAATTCAAGCAAATGAGAATTCAAATGGGAGCTTTAAAAGTTAGAACTGCGAATTTCTTTGAAGCTTAAATCTACTGAAGTGAGATGTAACAGAAAAACAAAGACTTGAACAACTAAGACTTTACTGAAGTGCAAAAGTTTGATAGCTAATTACAGGATGGACTCCAACGCTAATCTGCTTAACGGATGGATTAAATGCTCCGCAGTTTTCTTCCCTCCCCCACCCC